CTTTTCATATATATAAATATAAGGTATTCGCCTTTTTTTGAACCACCATCACTTGGCTAGTAGATGATCAATTCTTTTTCCTAGTATATCTGTGAGATTGTCTCTGGCCATAATCCTGGGTCCTCTGAAATCCTCATTCATTATTCTACTGTGACTCTTGGTTGTCGACTCCTTCCACCTCAATCCTCTCCACATTCTCATTCACATACGCCTATCCCCTTTTCAGTCACTTAATTCAGTTATCTACATCCTCTTTCTAATTACAGCCTCTTCCATCTGCTACCCATGACACAAAACAGACAAAACTGATATAGATTAGTGATACAGTACAACATTATAAAGTAATACCTTACTAACTTATTGAAAACAGTTCAAACCTCCATCCATACCATTTCCATTTTCATACCCTTTAATCCATTTCAGGGTCAGGGGGTGCCAGTCAGAGATTCACCCCAATCTCATAGCACCAGCCCCTCACTGACCCTCTGGCAGGTGGGAGTCCACAGTAGACGGCGTCTCTCTTGAGTTGTGCGCATGAGCCTTGATCTTTCAGTGGGGGGGGGGTGGGGGGTGGATTTGATAAGGTGGGTTTCAATCAGTGACTGATAAATTCACACCATGCCTCACTGTCAAAAAACCCTCACAACTAGTAGCGCTTCAATCTGTCCATGATTCTTCACTTCCTGAAACTGAAATAAAAGTAGGCTTTAATGGATGTACACAGATACAATATTCCATCATTACAGTGTATAGGCAAATACGTAGAATGCCTTGCATACCTTTATCTGATTATTGTGTATATGCAATCATATAAAAATATATAGAATATCTCAACTTCTTTGTATGTACCATGTAGTAGTACAGATACATATATGTTATTGTACAAAATACAACAAAAAACATTTTAAATATGGTTCCATATTATCCCCAAATCCACCATTTAGACTTATGTGACAAAAATCAAATCGAATCAATCTATTTTTGAAATAAGCCTATTTCCCTTTTTTCAACAAAACACCTGTTGCCAAGCCTTACACCTACTCCTCCCACATGAACAATTGACAATTATTCGTAAAAATTGGCACCCATTGAAAGAAGGGTGGGCATACAGTTGGTCATCGGTGTCTGGCATTGATTGTCAGTTGTCATATCTGTGCTTAAAAGCAATAGTTTTAACACACCAGAAAGTCTCATTTCACCACCCTTGTATACAACACTAAAGATAATTGTTTAGCTAGAAACCATTAGAACCCGAAGACAAATATAACATTATTTATGACCACTAGTTTCACCAAAAAACTCCAAATCCGTTGCCGTGGCGTGTGATTTGTATGGTTATATCAACCAGATGATCCAATGAGCAGAGTCCAGTGAGTGACCCTGACTTAAGACTGCAAGCTCACGGGACGGACAGATTATGAAAATAGTGGAAATATAGTTACAGGTTGTACATGACAAAACTCATTTGCAGCCAGCCCATTGAAGGATAAGTGGACAGCATAGAGTGTGAGCTTCCCATACAGCTGCGCGTCTTAGTGTCACACGGATAACGTTTTTTTTTTATTTTTACCACGTACACAGCACACTGTTAGCTCTCCGTGAGATTTAGAATACAGAAACAAATTTCACAGGTTTTTTCCGCTCCAGTGTGGCCAATAAACAAGTCACTAAAACTCACCTCTCGTGTGAAGAACATGAGTAAGCAAATTGCTTGCCCTCATTACCCTATTTTCTCGCCTTTCCCAGATTTTTACCTTTAACTTTTCAGTAAATCCTGATAATATTTTTTACCTATCTTTTTCTATAGAAAAATGACATTAACTATTTATTATTTTATTACTTCTTACGTTTCTTATTTATTTACTTCGCCTTTTCATCTCCCCGTTCTCTTCTTTTCTTTCCTATCTGCCGCTGCCAACACAAGTCCAACTCGCTTACAGCGGCAGCAAGCAACACAGCAACAAGCGAGTGCACATTGTGGGACGAACCTATATTATGCTTATTGTAAGGGGTGGGCAGGTAGGGCCTGATATAGCATACAAATTTGTTTTTAGAGGAAAACTGAGGTTAAAACGTTGGTTATTTTTATACATGCCCCTTTCATTCAAATTGTAATAAATGAATATACCACAATGCCTAATACATATAAATATAAAGGACACACTTATAAGAGGGCCCCTCCCCCGCCGTTGTGCCCTTGGAACTTCGTACCCCTTTATACCCCCCATCACCGACGCACCAAGAGTATGACCACAAAAGTACAATCCAAATCAAATGTAATATACAGAATAGCCACGAAAAACATGTCTCTCCTCACACTTCTCTCTCTCCATCTCAGTCATCTCTCTTTCATCTCTCAACCTCTCTCTCTCTCTCCTCTCCTCTCTCCTCTCTCTCTCCTCTCTCTCTCAACCTCTGTCTCTCACTACTTCCTGTACTCAATCTCTGTCTATCTCTCTGTTCTCTCTCTTCTTGTAAACAAATCAATTTACAAGTTACTCACTTCTTATAATGACAGCACTTCTGCCTCAGGAATAGTACATTGTAGCAATTTATTTGAGTTTGTGCACTTGGCACAGGAACAGTAGTACAGAAGAAGAGCTATCCCTTCCAAGGGACAGTCCATCCAGACCCTGTGAGTTTCTCCTCTTATGCAGCCTGGTAGCTGGTCCACTTGCAGCCAACATGAATGCTTCTAGACCAGTGTAGCACAATGAAATGGGATGTTTTCTTGGTGCTTTCCGCCGCATCACTCCCAGTCCACCCGGCAAAGGCATAAACCTCATGTCTGGGGGAAAAAATTAAAAATAAATATTAATAAGAAGAAGTCTGGGCACGACATTTCATTCATTCGGGATTTCCACTCTCCACAAGGACATAATACCCACCATTAAAGGAACACTGGTCGGGCACGTATCAGAGCCTTGGATGCTGTCCATGGACTTCTATTCCTATGACTATGTCCTCCACTTTCTCATTTCTTTTCATCCCCTCCTTTCTTCTCACCCTATTCTCCTTCAGATGGGTACATACGAGACACCATTAACAGATCCAAGGTGAAGTTTAGTCCTTTTTGTTGGGGAAGGGCCAGGTGTTATGTAAAAAAAACCAGTTTTAAAATAATAACTGGGTAATTGAGAGAAAGGCACACTGGAATAGCGGTAAGTCCTCTCTGGGATTGTAATACTGGCTCCCCTTTTGGTCCTAAACGAGGCCCCGGGGGTGCCCTGGGATCCACGCGCACTGCAAGCGAGTCCGTTGGCGCGCCTGAGGCTTGGAGTAATCATCTCGGGCCGCGCGTTGCTCTGACGCTAATAACCTGTTAGGTGACAGAGCGCACTTCGCTGTTCATTGTAACCGAGTAGTTCTGGATTGTCCAGAGTCAGTGGGACTGACTAAAATTCATGACTACTTTATCAAACTGGCGGGATCCCAGTAAGCGGGCCAAGCAGCACACACTGCTGATGCGACGGCCCCGCCATCCCCTTGCGTAAAAATCAAACAAAGAAAGTTCGAATAAAAGGAGTCCAAGGAAAAGAGCAAGTGATCCCCCCAAGTCGCAAAAGTCCATCACAAGAGGTCAAGCAGCAGAGTGCCAGCATGCTGGTTGGGTTCCAGATGCGCCCCGCCAATAGAAGGCCGTCAGATATCTCACGTGGGATCTGTGACAAAAAACAATCGCTCCCATGCAGGAGATCGTGTGGCAGACGGGGGGGCAGATGCGCACACAGCCATGGAGCTATTAAATGAATAATATCTTTAGGCAGGTAATGTTGATAGAGTATGAACCATAGTATGAGAAATAGAGTAGAAACATAGTTGAGAATTGTTTAAAAAAAAAAAAGTAATTAATGTATGTGATGCGATGACTATACGATAAACTCTGACTTTACATACAATTTGAAATAACAGTCCCCCTCAGATAACAATGCTGTAATTTGATACCAAATCCCAAAGTGATCTTACAAGAAAATAAAACCAATAAAAAAGTGACATAAAACACATCAACGCACGATTTTACAGGTTAAACTCATAGACTGTATATATTAATGATCTAAAATGTAGGTCTTAAGTCCTTCAAAAACCTTTGTGGGTATGTAAACATATATATATATTATCTCAACAATAACCATAAAACTAAGTAGAGAGGAGCTTCTGAAAGGGAAGGATAAATAGGAGAAAAATATTGTGTTTTTACAGGTTTGTGTGTGATTATATGTCTGCATGCATGTGTACGTGTATATGCTTGCATGTGTATTGTACGTATATGTACGTATGCATGTATGTGGATGTATGCATGTGCGCGTATATGTATGTACATGAGTATATAGGTGTGCAAACGAGTATCTGTGCGTGTGTGTATGTATATATAAAATCAACAAAAATGGTCACAGAGGAAGACTGACTACACATTCTGTACACTTATCAATATAACATCAAAACTATTTAACATACAGCCATAAGAATAACCATCTATTGTTAAGGGTATTTTATTTACTTTAATATTGTTATTTATATATATATATATATATATATTTTTTGTATATATATATTTTATTTTGGCGTATATATACATACTTTCTCCTTATTTGTCTATGTATTTGTTTTGCTTTGTTTTGTTTTAACCTTTGTTTTTGTTTTTTTGACACAAGGGGAGCATAGTGGGGTAAAAAAAAAAAAAAAAAAAAAAAAAGAAATTAAAATGTGTCTGGTTAAGCTGTATGTATTAAGAAAACAGTGTGAACTAATGAAGATGACACAATAAAGTATGAAAAAAAAAAAAAAAAAAAAACCTTTGTGGAGCCCGGTGGTCAGGAGTTCAATCCACTTTCGGTAAGCGGCAGCTTTCGAAGCTTTGTTACTATAATAGTTTGCTTAACTCTCAAAATCGGCGCCGAATGAAACTAAAATGTAGTATAATGTATATTGCAATACTGCCATCTGCTGGGCAATATTAGAATGCATGTTTACAACCTTTCGGTCTTCCGCCTCTCAACGCAATGGTAAAGTACTGCCAAACATACACTTCTACTACTTTGAATTAGAGATAGCCTTAGTTTTAGATTTGTCGAGACCATCATAACTTTTCTTTTAAACACGAAGGGTTTATAAATAAACTTTAAAAGGTTCATTAGCTACTGCTTTCTTTATTGAAACCGCTTGCACGATTGTGATTTCTCTTATACTACGCGTAATGTGTAAAAACACATTGTTTTTGTGTATTTTCACCCTGCCCTTGGCTTAGGTGTTATTTGTACTTGTAGTACAGTGCTCTTTGAGACAGGAGCATGGACACAAACAGAGCCTCCGTAAGCTAGCTCCTGTAGCACGTGTCCGCACTGTATAGAATATTTGTGAAGCTGTATTTCAGCTGAGTACTTATAATGTCATGTCCGTGACATCTGCCTGTAAGAAGTATGATGTGTATGATGTGGACATTGTGTTTCTATAACTCGCATCTGACCATTTCACACTCAGTGATGTTTGTTTTGATGTAACGTTTGTGCCATAGACTCAAAGCAGCACGTGGGTTGATAAGTTCCGTGAAAAAATGCATCATATCCGTTTTAGGATTTTGTGTGTGTGTGTCATGTAGTGTTGTATCGTTCGTGAACGATTCGTTCAAAATGAACTAATCTTTTATATGACTCGGGAGTAACGAGTCTTCTCAGGGAGCGATTCGTTCATTTTCATGCAGTACCTTCTCTCGCCACATGGCGGCAGCTGCATGAGCTCAGTCAGCAGCAGACAGGAAACAGAAATGATTCGTTCACCACTCACTCAGCTGGATCCATTCTCAGGTCCCAGTTCTTTAGTCACGTGACAGACAGGCTGTCTGTGAGCAGCAAGCACTGCAGTTCCTTCACGATTCGTTCATACGGATCCTGACGGATTGCTCTTTCGTTCATTCGTCACGTGACAGCTGTGGCTGGCTCAGACAGCTACGGGGCTGGGGGACTGTTGACTGAGAGCTGAACAAGGAAATGATTGATGTCTGATATCTACAGTTTATTTGTCATGTGACACCCGATATAGATTATTTATTCACGAAATCATAATTATAGTGGTCTTCAGTCCTTGTTGTGTTATTGTATAGCCTATATAATGAATGTGTTTGTAAATAAATACTTTAGAAAATTATATCAGCATATTTATTGTGTTATACTCTGCCACAAAATAATAAAACATAACAATGATAACAACAAACACAATAAAAATAACAATAATAGTAATAATAATAATGTCACTTTTTGGACACAATAAATGCACCATGTAAACATAGGCAACTCATCAACTATTATTTTTTGTTTTAATTGTATCATTAATTGTCAAAATTAGTTTTACATTCGCTGTCCTCTCCCCAGCTGTCATGTGATCGACTGCTCGGCCGAAAGGGTCTCTGTCTGCTTAGGCTGTGGAGCAGAGCAGTACTTGTTCTCGTTCAAATCGTTCATTTGTCACATGACTCGCGGGCTGACCGGGTCTTTCTCGTTCATCGTTCATCGGTTCACAGCTCTGGCTCAGGCTGACACTGTGCGCCAGCAACATTGCTTCTCTCTGATTGGTCTGTTTTCACTGTCACGTGACAGTGAAAACAGACTGCCGTGCTGTTAAACAATGATAACAGAGAGGATACAGGACACAAGTTACATTATTGTGGTGTGTGTTAGCTTTCCTGGGTTTTCAAATGGCTTGAATAGCTTATGGCATTTTGTGTGTTATACTTTGTCACCGTAAGCAAACCATCTTGTCTTCAGTATTTATAGTTGGAGAAAACACGTCGTCGGCATGAGTCCTGCATTGTGGGCCACTACAGCGCCATCTGCTGTACAAATGAACGAAATGATTCGTTCGGGACTCGTTCAATTTACTGTTCGAGAGTTAAAGAATCGAATCAGAGGAAAGAACCGGTTTTCCCATCACTAGTGTCATGGATCTATTATAATAACGTGTGTGTATATATGACCCTTATATCTATAAATCTGGTATTTGTTAGTAAGGCCGAGTGAAATCAATTTTCCACTGATGCCAATGTACAAATAATACAACACAATCCGACCACATATACTTAGAATAATTTCCTTGATTATGTAGTTATTTTGTAATTGTATTTTTCAACAGAATAGGGACTACTTTCCAGAGAACAACTCCAGGTACAAAGATGTTGATTACTGGGATGAGCGTTACACAACAGAGCAGTGCTACGATTGGTTGGGAGGCTTCTCCAAATTCCAACATCTGATTGGAAAGCACGTTAAAAAAGAGGACTCCATTCTTGTTCTTGGTAAGATTTAGCTTTTTTTTTTACATTGTTTCATATTCTGATTGTTTTAATTACAGTTGGCATTATATTATTTTTATTTAATGAATAAAGCAGTATTTCTGCTTTAACTACCATTGGCACAAATGTTATATTAAACAAAATACAACTTTTGATATACATAGTTCCCACAGACCAATGAATGTCACATGACCTCCTCGGAGACGCCATCTTTTATGGCACGCTGCTGTGTTTGTGCATTCCATTAAACAGAAGAATGAGAATAAATGTAGATATTCAAACGCAAATTGGAAAAAAAAGGGCAACTTTTGAGCAAATAATTGTATATTAATACAATGGCACCACAGTTTAACGTGCTACGGACATGTTTTACATATTTGATCAAATTATGCAGCAAAAATTAACAAGCAATGCAAACATTTCTCAAAAACTTTAGATTTAATACCATTTGGAGCTCCATTTAATTATTTTAATTATATTAACAATTAATTTAATTAATGCTAATGCCACACGGACACTCTGGATTGCTGTTATTGTTTATTTCCGCGTTTTTGACCGTATGTTTTGGTGAATGGTGGGCAACTGATTTTTCCAGGCGTAAAGAGCAGTTTATTTTATGACACAGATCTTTTTACAGAAGCAATGCTGTTTGTGGGAACATTGTTTTAGCCCACCATAGAACTATTATTATCTATTTAATACATTTACGTTGCCCTCGAGAGCCTCGGACGCGACACCGATCCTCCTCATAATAAAGTAATCTAACGCTAAATAATGAAACTCTCAAGTTACCAGCTATCAGCATACACAAGTTAGTACTGAGTAAATTACGTCTGTCAACACATTATAAGATACGATACGCACCTGACACAAAGTGCTCCGAGCATATTCTTGCGTGTTTTGAGGGAGTTTCTTGCCTGTTTATCTTCGCAAGCCATAACCTCCGTGGTTGTTCTGATAAAAGCTTAGTCTTCTCACATTCATGAAGTCTAATGATGGGTATACTGTAAAATCCAAGTTTAACGGAACCTCCGGCACGATTTGAACATCCATTGACCCAGCAGGAGATGACCATTTTCAACTTTATCACAACATTAACACGTTTCAGCTTCTTTTTCTATTGTTTTACCCACAGAATGCCAAGACAAATGGCGCCGGGTCGGCAAATCCCCGTATGTAGTGACGTCATGTGGGAACTATGTATTGAATACTTTCCTGTTGATACACAAATATTTGGATAATATTCAAGACTTGAGTGTTGAATAATAACACATTGTATTTATTTAAACTTTGTATACTGTTATTATAGTTGGAGTTTGTTGTGGCGAGTTCACTTGTCCGTGTCAAAGTCGGTCTCTGCCCTGTCTCTTGGGATTTTCTAAGTGTCTCTTGCTTGTCACTGTGACGGTCAATTCAATGGTCTTGGCCGTCACTTACCACTGCTTTAAAAGGGATCTGCTTGGACACTCTTACTTTCATTGCTTCAGAAGACATTGATTGGGATGGGGAACTATATGCACAATAACCCTATATAACTTTCCAATAAGGCTCAAGCACAAGACATTTTATTTCAAAAGCACTGACAATAACATATACAAATGTAATAAATAAGGAATTAAACACTGTACTCATTGGGACTTTTTTGATCACCATGTTTCAACCTATTTTTGTTTAAAAATATAGTTTAAAAGCCTGAACAGACAATAATACAAATTAAATTTACGTGAATTATGCAGCAGTCTGAATGAAAATATTTGGATGATTCTGTCCACTAGATGTCACTGCTGCACAGAACATATTTAGACGTAGAATAGTTTAATACACAGCATTACCTGCAGTACCTGATTTTCATACTTATCTTACGTTTTCAGGACAGATTTACATTGGAGAAGCCTCTAAAGTCCCGCCCTGAATTGCAGAAAATACATTTTATTACCAACAATCTATTATGTAATTTTTTTATATATAACATTGGAAAACCTTTAATTTCTAGCAAATTGGTTGTTGGAATGTGTAAGAAAAAGCCAGCCATAGCGACTGATTACTGGACACATATTACAGCAGTAGAGGGCAACTCTATTTCTCAGCACGTACACACTGTGTGTTATAGTTGTGTGTTTGTGTGTCAAGTAGGGCTGGGCGATATGGCAAAAAAAAAAAAATCTCCGATTTTTTCACACCAAATCCGATTTTCGATTTTAATCGATTTATTTTTTTCTATTTAAAAACAAACTACAACTGACAAAGAAATAGATTTCCCTTTATGCAGTTTAATCTAAATCCCCATGGAGCATAAGTGTAACAGGAATTAAGCCTTAAAACATGCTTGTAAACGAGATGGCTCTGCCATTGTAAACAGTGAAAATGTAGCTTAACAGTTTTATAATAACTTCACTTACAATGACACTATGCACCTTCAAAATAACTTAAATCACACAAACAAGGCCCATCGCAAATATATCAATCCTATTAAACACATGCATTGCACACACATGCACTGATTACTCAAAATAGAAATGTTGTAACAGACAGTATTTTCCAAAAGCCTCCTCGGGTTTTCATGCTTGTTCTTTCAACTGTGCCTGAGTAACTGTGCTGTAGTACAACGCTCGGTCCAGCTGGTGGCGCTAATACTAACTTCAGTGACTCCCGCATTGTACGAGCTTCCTGTTTACATTCTGATGCTGTAGTTAGCAGCTACTGTAGCAGCTACTGTAGCTAACAGCTACTGTAGCAGCCACTGTAGCTAACAGCTACTGTAGCAGCTACTGTAGCTAACAGCTACTGTAGCAGCTACTGTAGCTAACAGACAGCGGGGAACACGTTGTTTGTATCAGAGCAATGAGAGCAATGTGTGAGACGTGTCTTTCCCCAAAGTGCAACAGCACCAACTGTGAGAGCGAGCATCAGGCCAGAGGGAGACTGTTAGCATTAGGTTAGCTTCAAAATGACTGCTCAACACCATAGACCCGCGGTTAGCGCGTTAGCGCTGTAGTTCTGCGCTGGAGAAAATAAAAATCGAATTTTTAAAAAAAGAAATCGCCCTAAACGTAAAACTCGAATTAATGATTAAAATCGATTAATCGCCCAGCCCTAGTGTCAAGGGTTTGTTAAATTTGTGTCACTGGGTGACAGGGGCTTTCTACTGCTGAACGGAAGAAGGGATCTTTCATGCTTGTTTTTGTTCTTTATTTAGATAATATTCTCTTGCAATATCATGACAACATAATAATTCCTTATTTATTGGTATCATGTTAATGAAGAGCTTGGAGTGACAGACCCACATGCATACAGAAGTATGCGGTTTTAGTTTTACAATGTGCGTCATAGGCACACCTACAGCAGAGGCAACGGTAAGCTGATGTATAAAATATTTTTATTCTCATCCCTTGCACAGCATTGCAGTAGACATTTCAAGTTCTGTTCCCCACACTTAGAGCCAGAGGAGAGGCATTTGAGCCTCAGGACATTCATCTAACAGTGCATCTCAGTCGCCTTGTTAGATTGTGAGAATGCACGTTTCTCTCAGCAGCACGTGTTGTGGTCTTCTCCAACAACACACATGCTTAAACCAGGAGATATTTAGGGAAGCCTGCCGTAAAGATGCAGCAGTGCTCACGTGTTCTACAGATATGAAGTGCTCTTAAAATCACTTAAATACTGTCACGCATGGACAGACGCACATTTCTCTGCCTAACTCCACTTGTCAAGTCGGTAAAGCCACAGATTATTGGCCTTTATGAAGTGACACAATAAATTACTGTCAGGATAGAATAGAAAAGAGAGAAAGCTGACAAGGGAAGGCGTTAGAGAATGTAGGGGAGAGATTTGATGTACCAGTTATTTTTTGTGTGTAGATAACGACATGGTTAATAAGATGACCATAATCAGGTTTGGGCAACTCCACTTTCTGAGTTTGGGGTCATTTCTATTAAGATAATGTGTTCAGCGCACAGAGAATGATCAACTGTGGGCTGGGGAGTGCAGCTGCATACAGATCCAGTTTTCAGTTGAAGTCATACACTTTATATGAAAAACTTAAATTCATCATGGGGCCTGATATTTACTGGTAATCCAGGTGAAACTTTCTTTGCTAGGTCAGGTTGATCAATGCATGTTTTCAATAATGTTAAATGTCAATATACATTTAAATTATCATTTCATTTCAGTTTTTACTCATTTTTATAACAAGTTTACACAATGTTGATAATTGGAAGAATTTCCTTTAAACTGTTTAACATCAGCTTTTGGTAGCCTTCCACAACATTTTAGCCCACTCCTCCTAAAACAACTTACTGTATGTTACTGATGTTGCATTCACAACGAACTCTGGGAAAATGTATTTGTAAGTTGAAAGATGGACATGAACATTCACTCAACTCAGAAACCAGCCATGTTTCATCTTCAGTGCCCTTGCTTATAGAAGGAGGTTTGCACTCAGAATCTCACAAAACATAGCCCAATTCATTCTTTTCTTTACACAAATAAATCATCCTGGTCCCTTTGCAGAGAAACAACCCCTAAGTTTCCTCTCCCATGCTTCACAGTAGGCATGGGGTTCTAATTAGCAAATAAATTATTTTAAAGTGATTTTCTGGAATGTGTGGTTTAATTTTGTCTCTCATAGTTGTCGTTTAAACATATGAACATCGCTTATCTTTTTAAGTCAGAGGACTTTCACGATTGGTGGCTGACAATGTATACATGTGGAAACTAAGCATTTTCAAACCTTTTTGAAAGTGTAGTTCTGTTTTAGCACTATGTATATTAAATAGAGAATATATGGTATATTATATAATGAGGCATACAGGGATGTTTGTAAGAGTGCATAAATCTATGCTGTTGGATTGTGTTCAGCTCATCTCAGCCCACTCACACACCCACAACAATAACAGCAGCAAGTTTCTTCTATAAGACTGCAGTATGTTGATATTTTGTTATCACATTATTTTATATCTTGGGCAAAGTAACACTTTTTTTTTACATTTTGTGTTATGTAATTT